AAGGCATGAAATGTTGCACCGAATGTGTCTGCAAAGATTGCAAAAACAGTATGATCAAGTTGGATTTAGATTCAGACAACCAGATATAAGGTGTGTAGGTGTTTAATTAATAAATAAATCATAAAAACATAAATAGCGTGTTTATTCCAAGGTTTAAAAAGTAGGAGCCCCGCCACAACGTGCGCGAAGTTTGCGCCCAGACTACGCGACGATTCGGTGCACTATAAACGTCACTAGGAAAAAAATCGTATCTTCGGAAATACACCAGATATCAACATAATTTTTTTCTTTAAAACTTTTCGCATGTTTTCTGAATACTTATGCAAGTCTTAAATGTCAAAATATTGTATAAATCACATAGCTGCCCGCATGTCGAAGTTTTCAATGTAACATTAGAAAAATTTTGTGTTCGACACCTAATAAAATGATAAGTATTTGTCGCAGCAATATAAAATAAACTTTATTCGAAGCGCTAAGGACTACCGAATTCAACGCCGTCTTAACGGAATAGATAGCTCTTGTAGTTTCCGTGTAACTGGATGAAATATTTCAAGAAACACGTTTTTCCGCGCGCTCGAAATTTTGCGGTTTTTTCAAATTTTCCAAGTTCGGTACCACCAGAAAAAGTTGAATTTTTCACAAATGATTTTAAAATGATATATAACACATCTGGTTGTATTCTTGGGTCACTCATGTGAATATTTCAGAGCCGATTTTACTGGACTAATGGTACCTATTGTAATTGTTGCACCCTTATTGATCCGTTCATATAGGCCAATTTTGGCACTGTCGCTGTCACGTGCGGAACTTTCCATTGAATTTTGGTTAACGTTATTACTTCATCGTTGGCGGTTTCCATGTAACAGTCGGAATTACAGATGGCTACAGAGATTTTGTAAATAGGAAAGGGTGGCCCTCAATTATATTACAGGCAGGGGTAGATCACTCATTCAGATTAATTTTTGTTGTAGTTAATACAATTCTTTGCTTTTTACGCAATATTATTGTAGGTTTCGAAATATAAATTGCAAAACACCTGGATCTCATGATTCTGCAGTATTTCAAGAATCCCAATTGTATAAGGAACATGATGTATTAATTCCAGCGGTAAGTATGAGAATGTGAGTGAATTAAAAAATAATGTGTAATTTTGTAGACAAATCGGGATATAAATGGCACCTTGGTGCCTTATATGCTGATGGGTGATCCGGTATACCCCTTATTACCTTGGATCTTGAAGGGGTATACAAGATCTTCTAGACTTTCACCTGAAGAAGAGTCGTTCAATACTTATATGAACTGTGGACGTGTATCAGTAGAAATTGCTTTTGGACGTTTGAAAGCTCGTTGGAGATGTCTCTTAAAATGGTTAGACGTGCATTATACTTTTGTTCCAGCTGTGGTTTCTGCATGTTGCATTTTGCACAATATTGTGGAAACAAAAAAAGATGCATTTGTAACGCAGTGGGAAGTGGCTGTTACAGAAGCAGAATTGCTATTTCCACAACCATCTTCAAGCAGTAACCGATGTCGAGACAATTTTAATGGTAATAGTATAAGAGATGCTATCAAAAATTATGTAGCAGAAAATTTTCCCCTGCATTTGGTTAATGTCATCGAAGTTTGTAGGAGTGGGGGATTGATTATTTGCACTTGCATGTACTGGTGGGAAATGGGTTAGCAAACTGCATGGATGTAGAGGGGGAGCCAGCAGGGATATTTGTAAAAGTGGGAAGTGGATTTGGGGACAGAAAGGGATGTAACTGGGAGACGACTGAATTGTTCACATACTGAGGGAAAAAGGAGGGCTGTAGAATAGTACGTAACCATTTAATAATGAAGTCGTAGATTCTTGCACGATTTGTTTTTGTGCTTGTAAAACGGTGCGCATCATTTCTTTTTCGAATTCATTTTGTTGGACTAAAATGTTTGTCAACATTTCCGTTTGTTTTTGTAACAAATTTGCCTGTAGGTTTTGTGCATTATTCCTCGATGTTTCCGCAAATTGGTCGAGGGTGTGCTGATAAGATTTCCTACCAGTTTTCTTCTTTTTTGGTGGCGGTTGCTGCTCGCCCTCATCAGCTTCACATTCTTCCACGATTTCTACCGATACATCTTGATTAATTCCAAGAGGTAAACTAATGGAGCTACTAAACACCACTTGAAACAATAATAATAATAATAATATTTATTCAAACCACTTTACAATAAATATAATTTTGTTTGTGGCAAGTCAAGAGAGACAAATAAAAGTATAAGACAAACGTAATGACATACAATACATACAACATACAGGACTAGTTGACTACATGGAGGCCCAATCCAAGTACTCTATAGTTGAGTAGAATGCATGTGAGATAGGTAAGAACTTTTTTTAGGGAAGATTTGAATTGGGATAGTTTCAAGGTTTTAAAGATTGCCTGAAGTTTATTATATAATTGAATGTTAATTGAATTGTTAGATGAGAGTTTGAGTCTATGTTTATGTAATACTAAGAGATTTGATGATCTTGTGTTGTGATTAAGAATATCCGAGTGTTTTTGATACGTCGCACTGCATTTGTGAATTTCGACAAGCGAATATAAAATAAACAAAGCTGGTAGTGTTAAAATATTTAAATTTTTAAAATGAGTTCTACAGGATACATTAGAAGAGATACCCCTAATGATCCTTAGAGCTTTTTTTTGTAAAATGAAGACTCGAGCTGCATGCGGCGAACCCCCCCATAGCAAGATACCATACGAAATGTGTACAACAGTACTGTTGGTAGTTACTTAATCCGTACAAGACGATAATTATCAAAAGCAATTATTTTTAGTAACCTACCACGTCGAAGATTTGCGTGCAAAAGGAAAAGGAAATTGGTCAAATTTTGATTATGATAATCTTAGGAATGTGACCCAACTGACCTGTGTCCAGATAGACAGGTATTCAGGAAATAGGCAACCCAAATTACATATGTACATTGATATGACATGTTACATTGTGTCATATTCCGTTTTAATCAATTCATCGCTTAGGAATTTTAATGCAGCCGAAACATGATGACTTATAACATTAGTTAAGGTACGAACTTTCATTTTTTCAAAGTGGGAGGGCATTAAATCTGTTTCGGACAATCTTGGTACCAATTTAAATTGTAGTGATTCTTGATGATTTATTATGTCTTCAAGATGACTTGCTTTCACTATATTAGTTGGCAATTGGAATTTATTTTTAATGTCGTTGGTTACAGTTATTATTTTATTAGAAATTTACATATTTTTTATGTTTTGCATCTGCAAAGACGTATATTTTTCTTGTGTCATCCTGGGGATGTGGGAAAAAATTTTTTGTTAGCGAATGTCTTCCTGCTGTTATTCCCCATATTTGTCAAAAGGCTTGATTAGCAGATCCCATGTCTAAAGTTATACTAATTACTTTCAGTCCCAGTGCCTCAGATTTTTCAATAACTTCGAACAATATGTCTCGATAAACCCTTCCATTTACTGAATTACCCGTGAAGAAATAAGCGACTGTCTGTTTCCACCTAACCGTTATACCACCCAATATTATTACTAATGCATGAGTAGCAGTTGTGTCCGATGACTGTCCAGGTAAATTGACATCCCCCAAATATACTTTGGTTGGTTGCACATAAGGTTGTTATATATATCTACAAGTATTTCGGGTTGAATATAATGGTAGTGAATCACTATTTTGTATAGTTCTACGTTTTCGCAAAAATCGCCGTTTTTTATTAGGTTTAGGCGTAGGACAGGAAAGGCGGGGCGCGTGTTGGGCCGTAGGTAAACGTCGTTTGCCGCCGCGAACGGGGAGAGACGGGTCTACGGGAGAGCCCTAGCTATGCCGAACTCGCCTTCGGCTCGCTCGGCATTGGTGTAGGAAAAATGCGAGCAGTTTTTCGTCGTGAGAAGGGCGAGCTCGAGCTATGCCGAGCGAGCGATTGGTATGCACTTCGCATTTTGTGACCGAAACCGTTTATCGACCACGAGATTCGGGACGGCGGTTGATTTATGGCGAACTCGCATTCGGCTTGCTCGGCATTGATATACGAGGCGCGCGTGTTAAGAATCGAAATTCCTAGATTATTTTACTTCGTTAGGGGGAAGGGTTATTAAGAATGTTTGTTTAAATTTGTATTTCCAAAAAGTTAAAAAAAAATTCTCAAACGTACAAATAACGTAATGTACAACGCTGCTTGGTGTGATGTTCTGTTTATCTTCATTTTTGTTTGAATTTGTGTTTTAAATTAAAAAAGTTAAAAAAATTTCTTAAACCTACAAATAACCTAATGTCCGAAGCTGCTTGGTGTCACACTCTGTTTAGCTTCATTAAGAATTTTTGTATGAGTGTGTAGTACAAAAGAAATTAAAAAAACAATCGAGGTTGAGGAGCGAGTCTACCGGAGAACCCTTCGGCTCGCTCGGCATTGGTATGAAAAAAAGTGTAGTATGTGTTTGGCCGTTGATAAATGTCGTTTGCCACTGTGGACGTAGAGAGACGAATCTAAGGGAGAGCCCTAGCTATGCCGAACTTGCCTTCGGCTCGCTCGGCATTGGTGTAAAAAAATGTACTGTGTGTTTGGCCGTTGGCAAATGTCGTTTGCCACCGTGGACATAGAAAGACGAGTCTAAGGGAGGGACAGAGTTATTGGTATACGAGGCGCGTGTAGTAAGAATCGAAAGTCTTTAGTTATTTGACTTGGTTGGGGAGAGAATTTTTGTTTGAATTTGTATTTCGAAAAAAATCCTAAATCTACAGATAATCTAATGTGCAAAGCTGCTTTTGGTGTCACATTTTATTTAGCTTCATTTAGAATTGTTGTTTGAATTTGTGTTTCATAAAAAGTATTTTTTAGTCGATAGCCGGAAAAATGGCATATTATTGTTTTGTTTATGTCATCACAAAGCAGGTGATTTCCGTACTGTCCGGGAATCTTTATTCCCGTACAGTACGGGAAAATATGTATACATATTAAAGGAAGCTATAAAACGTTACGGTAGCAAGAAAGTGTGGACCTCCGATGGGAAAATTTGTATAAAGACGGATAATGGTATCAAAAAGGCGACAACCAATAAACAGCTGGATCTTCTTGTCAACAATAAATAAACTGGCTTTGTTAAATATGCAATCGATGCAGTGTTTGATCGCACGAATTTTTGGTCTGTGGACAATCTTGCTTATGTTAATCGTTTATCTACAAAATTGTATTTTTGTTAATTATTTTTGTATTAAGTATAATTGCCAATTAATTCTGTACTAATTCTGTTATTTTTTTGTAGCAATGCGTATTGCACATGTAAACATAAGATCCCTGGTGCCAAAGTTACACGTTCTTAAAAGTTTTTTGGATGTCGAAAAATATGATGTAATGGCTATCAGCGAAAGCTGGTTGAAGAATGACGTGAGCGATGAGCATATTACTATTCCTGGTTATAATCTGGTGAGGCAGGATAGGGTAAACAGAGGTGGTGGAGTCTGTATTTATATAAAAAATAAATTAAAATTTACTATTATAGTCTCTAATCAATACACAATTGAACACTTATGGTTAAATATTAAAACAAGTACTCAGTCTGTGGTAGTTGGCGTTATTTATAGACCTCCAAATCAAAACTACAAAGTATTCTGTGACGAATTGGAAGGGGTATGCTTAGAAGCTTTGCTGGCATGTGAGAGTCTTGTTTGTGTAGGGGATGTAAACATTAATATTCTTAATAAATCCTCAACTGAAACTAAATATTATCTAAACATGCTAGAAACTCTGGGCTTAACTCAAATCATCGAAAAGGCCACACGTTTAGGTACGTCGCTTTTAGACCACATAATTGTTTCAAATCCTATTGTAGTTAAAAAATCTGGTACAAATGGTATGTTATTTGCTGATCACGAAACCATATTTTGTGAACTCGTTTTAGACAAAATAATAAGTCATCATGAACGCAGAGCTATTAGAAGTTTTAAAAATTTCGATGTAGACTTATTTCGAGCCGATGTACAAAGAGTAGCCTGGCAACATATTTTTTACATAGCTGACGTAAATCTGAAACTAAATTACCTAAATGATAACATTCTCAACATTATTAACAAGCATGCACCCATAGTTACTGTATCGGGCAACAGGAAAACTAACACACAATGGTTATCATCCAACACCAAATACCTTATGAGGCTAAGGGATAAAGCGTACAAAAAATTCAAACAATCGCAATCACCCGCACACTGGGAATATTATAAATCTCTGCGTAATCTTGTGAACAAAACGGTAAAACTGGAGAAGAAAGCGTTTTTGGAGTACAAACTCAATAATAAGGACCCCAAAGTATTATGGAAGGAACTTAAAAATCTAAAAATCGTTCATGACAGGAAAAACGTCATACCTCCTTTTCTACAACATGCTAACCAAATCAATGATTACTTTATAAATAGTATTCCTGCTGTTCAAAGTGATCTGTCTAAAATTGAGCCTCTTTTTAGCGCTGATTATAAGTATGTAAATTTTGAATTTTCATCGATTGATACCGGCATGGCTGCGAAGCTGCTTAACTCGATAAAAACGAATAGCACTGGTTGGGATGGTATAAACATTACTATTGTGAAATTGTTTTGTCCTACAATTCTTCCTTATCTAACGCATATAATTAACGAATGTATCAATACTAACACATCTCCAACTGCGTGGAAAAAAGTAATTGTCATACCGATTGCAAAAATACCCAACCCAAAAGAATACAAAGATCTTCGTCCCATCAGTATTCTCCGAGGTATTCTCCCAGTAATGTCAAAAATTTTAGAAAAAATCATTGATTCACAGCTACGCGCGTATTTAAACACTAACCACGCTTTCTTACAAAACCAATCTGGGTTTAGGGCCGGGCATAGCTGTGCCACTGCTATTCTTCATGTCACTGACGATATATTAAGAGCGACTGACCAAGGCAAGGTATCTGTGCTAACACTTCTGGATTTCAGCAAGGTATTTGGTAGACCATGACATTCTGACCTCAATTCTACGTTCTTTTGGCCTATCGCCCAACACAACTGCTCTAATTCAAACATATTTAAAAGATCGATCGCAATGCGTGCATTTAATGGGTTCGACATCTCCTTATCGAAAACTAACTAGAGGTGTCCCACAAGGGTCAATACTTGCCCCGCTTCTGTTCAATTTGTACTCGTCCTACCTACCTTCCGTCGTAAAAACATGTTCAGTTCACATGTACGCCGATGATTTACAAATGTACTACTCGTTTGATAGTGAAAATAGCACTGAAGCTTTAAATCTTATTCAAAGTGATCTAAATGCACTTGCTACAGGCTCTTTACACCATTCATTAGTAATCAACCCCTCAAAATCGATGGCTATACTTTTTGGCAACAAACATAAACTTGAAAGGCTAAAGGAGCACTCAAGGTTATATATCGGTGATCAACAAATAATCATATCAGATGAAGTCAAGAATTTGGGAGTAGTAGTTGATAATACCTTCAGGTATACGAAACTAATAATGAATTTCATTCAACGAGCAATCATCAACCTTAAATTAATCTTTCCCCACAGACACTACCTTACACAAACATTAAAAGCAAATCTTTGTAATTCCTTAGTGCTGAGTCACTTCAACTACTGTTCCCAAGTTTATGGCCCCGGTATCACACAAAATATTTCGGCCAAAATACAACGTATTCAGAACTGTTGCATTAGATTAATATTTGGAATAAAGAAGTTCCAGCACGTGTCACATAAAGTAAAAGACTTATCTTGGCTCAATATGGCAAACAGAAGACTCTTAAATGCGGCATGCTTGTACCACAAAATAATGCTAGACAAATCCCCGCCATACTTGTATAATAAAATAACGTTCAGATCTGACGTTCATAATCTTAATATTCGATTTAGAGGGAGAATAACGCCACCGATACATCGTACAAGTTTGTTTAGACGATCCTTTACGTAGGTATGACTTTTATAAAATTTATTCCTCTATTTCGGAACCACTGAAATCACTACCACTGTGTACCTTCAAGAAAAGAATGCGCCAGAATCTGCTAGACAGTCAGTTTAAATAATTAAAACGTACAAACATTACCACGTCTGGGTTCACCCAGAATATGTAGGTACACTTTCCACTATAACCACCTGTTATATAACTAATTAATCTTTACATCGCTGCACCGACATCCTTCATCCAATTATCATCTGACACCATAATTTAAGTTAATTGGCAAAATGTTTACAAGTTCAGTTTTGCACGATGAACAATCTTTCACTTATTTTTTCAGGGAATTGGTGGTAGATCAGAACTTGCATTTATTTGCAACGACTGAACCAATATCCCCTGTGATTTTCACCATACAGCTTAGGTATATGCATTTGTCTCCTTATTACACTCTCAGTCTTTGTTTCTAAGTTGTTATGACGTGAAAATAAATGCATTATTATTATTATTATTATTATTATTATACTCTTGTGAGCATGAAAAAGTAAAAGAACAGTTACACACAAATGCATAGTCTATTTTCTATTAATATGTACATTAATAGTAAAGGGTGTGGCATTTTTAACGCACATTTTAAATTCGAAATTAAACACATTAAATAATTACGAAATTGAAATATTTTTATTGGAATTTGAAGTTGTGTTCATCACATTACGTATGGAATATAACATCATTTAAATGGCCACCTCTGGCTTGGTGGCAAGACCGCATTCTTTTATTGAAATTTTCCATAACATTTTCGCATAATTCTGGGTCAATCTCCTCAATACAGCGACGAATTTCGTCCTTCAATGCATCGATGGTTTCAGGATTGTTCACATAAACCTTGCTTTTAAGAAAACCCCAAAGAAAGAAATCCAATGGGGTTAGATCGCAAGATCTTGGAGGCCAGTTAACATCGCTGAAACGAGAAATTATGCGATTTCCACGCAATAACTGCATGGTTTCACGTGCCGTGTGGCATGTGGCCCCATCTTGTTGAAACCATAGGTTGGGCACATCCATGTCTTCAAGTTTTTGCCAAAAAAAAGTCGTCAACATGTTACGGTAATTGTTTCCATTGATGGTAACGGCAACACCAGCATCATTTTCAAAAAAATACGGGCCAATGACCCCTCCAGCCCAAAAATAATAATAATATAAAATAATGTCAAACATCAAACTTGACAGTTGCCAAATTTGGTGAGTTTACATTCGGTAGTTCAAAAATGGCGGCAAATTTAAAATGTGCGTTAAAAATGCCACACCCTTTACAATCATTGCAGTTTCCAATCAAATTTCATAGTCCAGTCAATGTTGACTCTACTTCATAATTAATTGAACAATTCTTGTTTTGGAGATGGTGCACCCCCGCTACTTGCTTAAATCTTTTACCATTATGGTATTTGAAGAAAAACCTATTGCACTCAAAATTGGATGGTCGAACGGTTGCATATTTACGGTATGTTCCTAAATAAGTCTCGTTTACTATAAACGACCGTGGTTTATTGGCTGTGTTGCATGGAATCTTCACCAATAGTTGTGAATCCAAATCCTCAATGTCCACAAGCTTTAAGTTACATAACTCCTCTCGCCGACAGGCGCCATAAATTCCGGAAATTACCACAACCTAAAAAAATTAAGTTATAATCTTCAGGCCTTTTAATTAAAATCTTACTTTAGCCATGAGGTAAGTATCATCTGGAGCGTTGATCATAAATTCTCCGATTTGTTCGTTGGTGAAGACTTTCGACTGCTTTGTAGCCCACGGATTGCTTTTTCAAATATGCTCGCAGTTTTTTATATGAAGTGATGTCTACATTTTGCGTTAACATAAGAACCAAATTTTCCGAAAACGAATAAGTCCCTTTACTTGATCTATACCTATTCCATAAAACGTTGATAAGCATTTTCATACTTTTCCCTCGATTTAGTTGGCAACAGATTTGGAGTAGCTTCATTGACTGCTTCCAAAACTTCAAGTGGTGTTACACAAAATAAATCTTCATCAAAATCACCGTCGATATCCATTTTATATTAATATTGCACATCAACTAATATTATAAATTCACACAAACGAAAAAATTTTCGATTTGTTTACTTCATGTCCACGGTAACGTTCAAACAATGCATGCTCGGAAAACAAACTTGATGTTTGCATCTTTTAATTACTGTAAATAAAAAAAGGCGCGGCCCGGGTTCGATCCGCGCACCTACCTCATACAAGCATAGACCATTGACATTATACCAAATGACAATTGGTGAAAATTCGGCTTCGGCTCGCTCGGCATTGGTATGCACTTCGCATTTTGTGACCGAAACCGTTTATCAACCCCGACATTCGGGACGGCGGTTGGCTTATGCCGAACTCGCCTTCGGCTCACTCGGCATTGGTGTAAACAAAATGTAGTGTGGGTTTGGTCGGTAAATATCGTTTGCCACCGTGGACGTAAAGAGACGAGTTTAAGGAAGGGCCAGAGTTATGCCGAACTCGCCTTCGGCTCGCGCGGCATTGGTATACGAGGCGCGTGTGTTAAGAATCGAAAGTCTTTAGTTATTTTACTTGGTTGGAGAAAGGGTTATTAAGAATTTTTGTTTGAATTTATATTTTGAAAAGTGTAAAAAAAATTTTTAATCTACAAATGTCCACCGCTGGTTGGTGTCACATTCGGTTTAGCTTCAGTTAGAATTTTTGTTTGAATTTGTATTTCGAAAAAAGTTAAAAAAAATTCTTAAATCTACAAATAACCTAATTTCCACCGCTGCTTGTTGTCACATTCGGTTTAGCTTCATTTAGAAGTTTTGTTTAAATTTGTGTTTTAAAAAAGTTAAAAAAAAATTCCTAAACCTACAAAATAACCTAATGTCGAACGCTGCTTGATGTCACATTCGATTTAGCTTCATTTTTAGTTTTTGTTTGAATTTCTAATTTAAAGCAGTTAAAATAAAATTTCTTAAATCTACAAATAACCTAATATCCCAAGTTAAGGGAGGGCCAAAGTAATGCCGAACTCGCCTTCGGCTCGCTCGGCATTGGTATACGAGGCACGTGAGTTAAAAATCGAAAGTCTGGTTATTTTACTTGGTTGGGGAAAGGGTTGTAAAAGAATTTTTGTTTGATTTTGTAATTTAAAAATGTTCAAAAAAAATTTCTTAAACCTACCAATGTAACCTAATGTCCCAAGCTGTTTGGTGCCACACTCTAGCTTCATTTTTAGTTTTTGTTTGAATTTGTGTTTTAAAAAAGTTAAAAAAAATTCTGAAACCTACAAATAACTTAATATCCGAAGCTGCTTGCTGTCACATACCGTTTAGCCTCATAAAGATTTTTTGTGTGAGTTTGTATTACAAAGATAATAATCGACGTAGTGGGGCGAGTCGACGGGAGAGCCATAGCTATGCCGAACTCACCTTCGGCTCGCTTAGTATTGGTATGCGTTTCACATTTTCTGACAGGAATTGTATCCCGTTTAATTTTTATTTTATTTCTAAGAAAATTAAAAAATGAAATAAATTTGGTATTGGTATGCGGGGGGGGGGGGGGGGGGGGTGGAAGTAACTGGCGCAAGCTGTTTTTTTGATTTTTTTGTGTGGGTGTGGGGAAATCTTCACGATACCGAGAAGAAGTCATTTGTAATCGCATTTCGATCTATTACTTTAAATTTTGTGATGCAATAATAAAAAAAGGAAAACAAATTCAATCAAATGTATCATCTTCGTACGCTATACCAAGACGCCGTTCGCAACGTAAAGGCCGTTACGGTCCGGTGTGTGACACTCTTACTCACTAAAACCCCCTCTCAGTGGAATGATAGCTGAAACAAATTATGTATTATATTGTACAAAACAACTAAAAAAAAGCAATACTTACACATATATATTTACACTCATTAGCATTATGACACATCGCGTTAACAATAAATATTTTGCGCACAAACGACCTAAAACGAAAAAAAAGGGAACGGGAAGCAAACAACGTTATGTGAAGGCCAACTGATTGCTAACCGACACGCGA